CTAATTTTTATAATTTAATGGCTTCTTCAAGACATTTCTCTATTCTAATTTTTTTCTAAAATAAAAATTAACAAAAATTAGTTAAATTAATAATAAAGTTACTTAAAGTTTAAAGTAATATGAATTCTTAAAGCACTTGTGGTTGCTAAATTAAATGTTAGGATGTGAGACAATATATTAAAATCAATTTCAAGAATGCAGAGATATAATGTTAATTAAATAGTAACGAATGAATGCACAAATTGCATTTCTAATGTTGGGCATAAAAAAGCCGTTTTGACACTTAACACTTCAATGGTACTAACGTTCACCAAAATCATAGGCAAAAAAATGCTTAACTCCCAACATTTTGATGCATGGGGTTCAAAATTATTATTAATCTTTTCAATTTCAAAGCGTAAAAATGTCAATTTCTTGGTATTTTGATGTTCTAGGCTTTGTTCATATACTTTTTCTTTCAATCATGCGTAAAAATTCCTTTCTGTAGGCATTTTGACACAGAATCTACAATCAATCATAAAATTATCAATTATTAGACATAAAAACATTACTCCTCTACGTTTTGATGCTTAAGGCTTAGCTTCATGGTATTTTTTTTTTTTCCCTCTCATTTTGGGTGTAATCACTTTTGGCGTTTTGACTCAGTAAAATACAAAACAATTCAACTTTTTTTAATCTTTTTTTGGACTTAAAAATGTCTACTTTTGACATTTTGACGCGCAAGATATTATAGAGGCAATATCTTACAACTTTTAGGATAACTTGTGAAGAAAATATATCATAGCTCCAATTTTTTTTTTCTGAAAAATTATCTTTTAAATTGAAATTGTAAAAAAATATTTTTAACAAAATAAAAACTATCTCAAAACTCGACTCAAATTATCTAGATGTAAAAATGTTCATAACGTTTAAATACTTAGCTTACATCAACTATAATTTCTTGTTATTGCAGGTAAAAATACTCATTCTTGCGTTTTAACACAACATACAAAAAATTATGTGTCATGTGTTAGCTTAAAAAAGCATAAGCTTGTCATAAAAACATAGAGTTTAACTTCTAATGATCTATTCTCCTTTTTTTCTTTTGTATGATCACTTCTAAAAACTTAGAAAATTCTTTATATTTTATTTTTCTCAATTAAAAAATAAAATTAATGAATTCAAAAACATAATTATAAATACTACATACAAATATGGAGTTGTCTCCAACAGAGCTTATTTAATGTTACAAGCTTGATGTACTTGGTTATTGCATGTTCTTTAATTATTCCTTCAAGTTTACAATAATATTCCCAACAAAGCTTTCTTGAGAATTATATTAGTGTATATCTCACTAGAACATGTCATGTCATGCTTTTTCTTACTTTTTTAGTGTGTGTGTGTGTGTTTTTTTTTTTTTTTTTTGTTATGAAAAGTATTCTCAAATTTGCAGTTTTCAAAAGATTTCTGACACTTGGACTCAACAATCTAACAATAGCAACCAAAATTTAATACACTTTATTTGCTTATGCAAACAAATGTGTCAAGTGCATAAATCATTTTAATGAGTATATTCATTATCAGCGTATCTTTCTTGATTTACAATTTGAGCATTCAACATAGTAGGGTGATATATTAAGCAAAATGTAAATAAATAAATAAATAAAATTATTTTTGAGTATATGTTTAATTGTACAAAATGACAAATACAGAAATATGATGAACAAACAATTGTGATTTGATTATCTTCTATTTATCTTTTTTACATTAAAAGTTATGTTATCTAACTCTTAACATGCAATAAAGATTAAGTTCTCTGATGTAATATATTTTAGGTTTATATTTATAGTTTTGTTTTGGTTAATAAATACTTTTCATATGCTTTATTTTTAGAGTTTATATCATTTTCTAGTTATTTGAATAAATTGGGCTTATTACAAATAAATGCTTTAATTTTATATTTTTGATTATTCTGACTTCTGAATACTCTTTTAGTTATAACTTTTTCTACAAATATCATTTTTGGCTGATTTTAGTTGCATTTGATTCTACATATCCAAGGCTTCAAAATGCATATATGGATCAATGGATTTGGAGTTATTTTTAATTTTTTATGATTTTTTGAAGTTGAGATATATTTGCTAAATATTACTGCTAGATTGCATTTGAACCCTTGTTATTTAATAATTGTATTTAGCCTTTTAGATATTATTGAGACCTAAACTTTGGCTACTTAATTTGCTCTAATCAGAATTTATAAATAGACTAATAAAGTTTTGAATTAGGGGAAAGGTGATTAGACACTTTGAGATTTTGAGACTTGATCGAAATAAGAATATTTGTTTCTACTTTCTCTCGAACTCTTTTTTTTTTTCATTCTTGCATGGAGTAAGCGTTTCAATGGAAGGCTAAACCTCTCGTTCAATCTGTGGAATTCAAACGTTGTAATTATGACTTGAGTTTTGTGTTAAATTGTTCTGAGTTTGTTCTCTTTTCTCTCTAATCTCGGAATTGTGTATTGCGATCGTAATTGACTTTTTTGTTGTTAGAATTCAAATTAGGACTCAATTGATGTTCTGATTTGATAATTCATGTAGATTATGTTAAATGATTATTTGATTTAATTTGTAACTCTATTCAATTAGGATATTCAATTGAATTAATAATTGAATTGGATGATTATTCAAACACAAATTTAAATCTTTAGATACTGTAATAGTCTAAGTTACACACAATTGGTATTTTGTGGATTGATATTTTTTAATTCATTTTTACTCACTTTAATTATGTTCGTAATTTAATTAATTGTAATTTTTAAAACTCCAAAAATCTTAGTTGTAATTTTTTAAATAAAACCTAAAATTGAATTTGATTAAGAATGTGTTTCCATGAATCGACTTAAATTTAACTCTATACTTCAAAATCTTTTAAAAAAATTTGTTATTTTGATAGCAACTTGGCAATCGTCTATCATTCTCTAATTTTAAGTCAACTTCAATTCCTTAAATAAAAATTCCAATACTATCGACCAAAACTTTTTAATTCTTTCAATTAATATGATTAGCACAGGCATTATTGTACCAGAACTCATAAAAAAAAAAACATTAAAATCATTGAGTGGTTTCTTCAATATCACAATAATCATGGTAAATTATTTAAATCTAATTTAACAACTAAATTTCTAACTATAAAATCAAGTTTGAGATCATATTTTAGCTCAACAAACTAGAAAATGCATTAGAAACAAACTGAATTGCAAGAGAAGAAAATAAATAAGAATGTAATAACATTAACAATAAATGAGAATTAAGCATAAGTCCATCCCATCCTAATGTAAAACAAATTAGTTATATATATTTACAATGATAAATAAAGAAACAAACAAAAAAGAAAACTTCATATAGATATGGAAAAAACATAAATTTTCCAAATTCCTATGATGGAAAAAAAAAAAAGAGAAAATGGAAAAGAAAAAAAGTTATAAGTAATGAAACTAAACAAAAATGTATGAACAAAAATGTATGAACTAAATGAGGTATATCTAAAAATTAATTCATATAATATTTATTTATAAAATTTAGAGTTATGTTGGACGTTAAAACATTGACATTGGTGTTTTTACCCTTGGAAATCAACATTCTACATTTTTCCATGATCAGGGGTGTAAAAATGTTTATACCTAGAGCATTTGGAATGGTGGTTTGACACGCGCATCTAGCGTGATCCTACAAATTTAGTTGCAGCATAATTTTTCCATGGTTGGGCAGTTTGATGTCCAAGTCTTGTAGCTTTCAACTTTTGCTTTCTTTGACGTTTTCAAGTTTTATTTCTTTGACAATTGATCCTACAAACAATAAAAATATATATAAACTAGTTTAATTCTTTTATAAATTAGATAAAAACAACTTTAATATATTCAAAAACACAGCTTAAAATCACGAACATTGATTAGATTACTTATTTGACTAAGAAATCATAGAAATAAAAGTTAAATACACATGTCAAATAATAGTTTAGTTGTAACTTCCATATACAGTCATATTGAAAACTATGACCACAAATTTGCATAATGCTTTGTAATGAAAAAAGAAGGTTTAAAAAATAGCTTAATTAAGCATTTATTTAATAAACTTTTTTATACAAAAATTTATGCCATAAATTTGACTATTAAATTTTTTAAAATAAACTAAAAATAAATATTCTAATTAGCTACAATAAAAATATTTATTAAAATAAAGTCAAAATAACTTATATGAGTTATAAATTATTTCTATAAACTCTTGATAAATTCTTTTAAATGCTCTTTAATTATCAAGCCAAAAATATTAATTTAGTAGTTTGAAAAAAAATAAAAATATTTTTTTTTCAAATGATGGTCTATTTCTACTCCAATTAACTTTTAAAATAAAAATTAAATCAATAAAATATAAAAGACAATAGAAGTACCGTTATAATATTAATAATGCACTTTTTAATATATTTTTTAACATATTTTTTATTACATGTTAAAATTTATTAAAAATAATAAAAAATATTAAATTAGAAATAAATAATAAGATTTACATAAGTTTTATAATTTTTAATTAATAAAAATAGTTTAAAAATTATATTAAAAGTGGGTTACCGAAAACTTTTTTTAAATGTCAAACTTGGTCAGAGCAGTCCCATTAGAATTCCATATCTTTGTTGTGCCGTCGTTTTTCTCCAAATTTCCAATTTATGAGTTACTTCTTTCCCTTTTAGTTCTCTCTCTCTCTCTCACACACACACACAAAGAAGCAAGGTAAATTTGATCTGATTCTCTCTAATTTGTTACTTTAATATATAGGTTTTTCAATTTGTTCTCTTCTTTCATCATACAGGGTTGATCGATTCATTTATGGCTTTTATTCTTTACTGCAGAATCATTTTTATGGGTTGACTGTGTTGTGTGTAGAAATGTAAAGGAATTTTGAATCTGATGATTTTGATTTTTGAAGAAATTGATCGAATTGATTCTATTTCTTAAGAACATAGGATTTTATTGATGGCTAGAATTTTGTCTATTGATGTAGATTAGTCTTTTATGTGTTCACTTTGTATGCAGGATCGAGTAACAACCGTTTTTTTTTTTTTCGTTGTGTTTGATTTTGTTCTTAGCTTCTGCTTCAATGACTTCTATCATCTCACCTGAATGGCATGATAAGGCTGCTGGTTTCTTTACTTCCTCAGGTATGTTTCACTAAATTGCTGCACTTTTATTTTCTTGATTACGCCCCGGTCTCTGCTTGTTTAAATTTAAGTTTGGTGTAGGGGTCAAGCTTAAAGAAGCTAAGGAATCAGCGGGAACGTTTGTTGGTGAGGTCACAAAGGATACAAAGAGTAATGTGGCTGAAGTGGCGGGGAAAGTTGGATTGATGGTCAAGAGTCGGTGGGCACTTCTTCAGCAGCCATCCACAAGACATGCTGTGCAGGATCGGTTGATATCAGCTGCTGCCACGACGGGTACGTTTCTTAGGAGAGGCTTCTCAGGGACAAAGGATAAGGTGGCTGTAGGAAAATCCAAGGTTGAAGAGGTGATGTAGTTGAGTAAATGATTTTGGTTTGTGTTAGATAACTTTTTAAAAAAGGCATATATATGCATAATGATTAAGTTCCATTGTTTTCCCTCTTTTTTGTTTACAAAACTTTGAAAAACCAAGAAATAGAGTGAGCACAGTGTGACGTTTTTGTAAATATTAGCAAAAATATATTAACCACAAATGAAAACAAAAGACAAACCAAACACTGCTTTATTATGATGATTTTATTTTTTCTTTTACTTGTGATCCTTATTTGGGGTTAAAGGAATGCCTTCTCCAACAGTCCAAAGTGATTTTGGATTACATATTCTGTCGGTTGGATGTGCGTAACTTTTGGTTTGGTTATAGATTGTTTAAAGCTATTATTTGATTTTTCAATTTTTCTCTTTATCTTGTCTTCTCTCCCCTTTCTTTTCCTTTTATCTATATGTTATCTGCTAGTTATATGCCAAGTTGTATTTTGCTGAATCAACTTGATGGTCATATTCTTTACTTTTTTCTCTCTCTGATTTGGCATTGTGGTCATTTAGGTGGCAAAAACAACAGCACAAAAAAGTAAGACTATCTTGACAGACATTGAAAGATGGCAAAAGGTGAATGACATCAGGCTAAATGTGACCTATTTTTACCAGTACCTGTCATTTTAACCATTCTTACTTTAATTTTCTGTTGCAGGGAGTTGCAAGCACTGATGGTAAGTTTCTCAAACCATATGACTCAGAAAGTTTCATGCATCAGAATCTTTTTGTAACTATGTAGAACTAGTTTCATTGTGTTTCCACAAGGCTTCTTGAGATGAAATACATTTTGTCGCTTTTACAGTAACATTTTTTATTGTTTGTTAGTTTATTTAAAATTTATACTGCATGCTTTGTTCCTATATAGATTTTTACTGTATTTAAAATTTGTTCCTGCCTGCATTATGGTAGTTAATTATTCATTACCTTGAACCCAGTATTTGGAGTTCCTATTGAGGTTACTGTACAGAGGCAAGATTGCAGCAAACCTATTCCTCAGATATTGGTCAAATGTGCAGATTATCTAATAGTTTCAGGTAGCTGTTTCTAGAGCAAGGTTTTACATCCATGCATCCATCTATTTTCTTATAGTGTTTTATTTTGATCCAATAGTAATTTCATCATTTTTATTTTATGTAGGATTGAACTCACCATATCTCTTTAAATCTGAAGGGGATAAAAAGGTTATTCAGCAATTGGTTTCCCTATACAACCAAGGTAATTCAATCATTTTTTATGTAATGAGTAGCTTTTAGTTATTATATTTGGATGATGTTATACTTGCTACCACAATTGCTTGTTGCAGATCCAGATGCTTTGGTGCCAGAAGGAACAAATCCAATTGATGTAGCAGCTCTTGCAAAATATTTTCTTGCCAGCCTTCCTGAACCACTTACCACATTGGAGCTTTATAATGAGATTAGAGCTACTCGATCTAGTATATATTCCATGAGAAACATACTCAAGAGGCTTTCTAGTGTGAACTACATGACACTGGAGTTTATAACAGCACTTCTACTCCGCGTTAGCCTGAAGTCACTTCTCAATAAGGTAGGAGACTTCTCTATGGGCTTGTGTATGTTTGTATGGTGGGAAATTGGTTTCATAAACCTGGTGAGAACTTATGTATTTTTATTTGCTTAACAAACCATGTATGGTGAATATCATGGCTCATTTCCATTTTCGTTGATTATCTGATATAAATTTTTTCTCCTACAAATAATGTCACATAATAAACTTGCCTTGCTATGCAAATAGCTTTCAAAACATGTGCTGAAAGTAATTTGAATTGATGCATTTTATTTGTTGTTTCTAAGTCATTGTTTTGAACAGTTGCTTTTGAACTGTTTCAAAGATGTATTTTCTCCCTTCATTAGCAATCTATGACTATCTTTTGTGGTTTTGTCAAATTTGTGTTTAGCCATTAACTTATCTTCATATTCTTATTCTTGCTGGTCTTAAGTTGCTAAATTTTATTATTCTTGATTGTCATATTTTTGTGGTTTTCTCCCTTCATTCACATGGTATCTATCAAGTTGGGTGGTTAAAGTGAAAAAAAATATCAACAGTTATTTGTTCGCGGATCTCCTTCCCCTAATGGTAAGAATCAAGAGCAAGAATTTCTGTTTACCACGGATGACCACGATCCTCATGAAATCACAGTGCAACCAAACTCCAAACAACACAAAACCCAACTCAATGTCAAATACTCTTCACACACCAACACCTTATTATTGGATTTACTCTTAGATTTTCTACCCCCATCAAGCTCCATGATTTTTAATCCCCCTTCTCTTGCATGCACCATTACAAATTCCCCATTTTCCCTCTCTTCTTTTAGTAACACTTCTAGTTGAAACATCTTAGCCTTAGGAGCACCCCTCAAATTATGAAGGTGCATGCAAGCGTGTGAGAGCTTTGATGAAGGTGGAATTGATGCGGTTGGGTGGTGCAGGTGACAACGATCCAGATCTGATGGTTAGAGGTCGAAAAAAAGTTGTAAAATGGTGGCCACTGGCAGGAACAATACTTGATGGGAGAGAGAAAGAGTGTTGGTGGTGTGGACTCTTTGGTTTCGATGGGAGGATGCATGGAGTTTCCATTTTTCTTATCTTATTGTATTTGCCATTTTTTGTTGGCCTCTATGTAGAGAGAGGAAGAGAGAGAGTGAATGGGTCAGTGAGATAGATGGATAAATTAGGGGTTGGAAAAAAGGCAAAGGGATAGATAGATAGATAAATGAGATGGGATGGAATGATGTTGTTTCTCTCTGCATAGGATGATGAGGATTTTAACCTTCTGTTTATCTTTTGGGAAAAATTGTTCTTAGGTTGTCTCGTTATGCCAAGTGAAGGGCTTGAGTCTATAGCAGAATGCATGACCATTTGAGAAGCTTGATCGTGCAGTGCCGAAGAAGAGGTGGAAGAATGAAGTTTAAGGATTTTTTTGCAAATATTAATATTTAAATAATAAAATATTCAAAATAACTACGACATGACAATGATGTGACAGTGATAAACTAAATTTCCGTTATTCAGCGCATCACTTAAAAGAGCACAATTGATGCAATAGACTAAATCTTTACATTTTGAAAATTTTAGGGATTAAACAACAACCAAACAATAAATTTGTCTAAGGTTCTTTCGGGTCCCCCTCTTTAGTGGAATAAGAGTCATCCAATCCACTCTCCTTATTATTACCTCCAAGGGTCTTCTCTGCTGACCGACCACTTTACTTTAGACGATTTTTGCGTATTCTGGTCTTTGATAATCGATTACATGAACTTGTGATTACTTACAAAGTTCAAAATTTTGAAAACTGACAACGGTCACTTTCTTGTAATTGATTACATGAATATGTAATCAATTACACAGATAAAATTTTAAACTTTGGGTACAAAAACAACATGGTAATCAATAATTATATATGGTAATCGATTACAATAAACCCCGAACTTGAAAGATTTAAGTTTTATCACTTTTTACATAGTTTTAAATCATCATTTACACTTTCTTTAGATCAAAACAATTATCTTAAAATTTATTTTGAGTAAAACTTGATTAATTTAAAAATGGCCAAATAAACTTATTAAAGAGAAAAACTTTTGACAAACTTTTCTAAAATCTAATGTTCTAACCATTTATCTTTGCCATTTTGCCTATTCATCATCAAGGATCTTCATGCCATTGAGTTTCCTTCTTGGTTGTCTTTTTGACATCATCAAAACCTGCAATATACATAGTCACATACCTTTTGTCTTTATTCTATGTTTATCTACTTCTTGCCTCTTGAAGGATTTTCTATGATCAGTTTCTTGTGTTTTTATCTTCTTATATATTTTTCTCCTGCAAATGTCATTATTTTTTCTTCTTAATCTAAAAGGTGAAAGGAAACATGACTATTTTCCTAGATGCAATACGATCATTGTCATCCTTTACTATTTTTGGTTTCCCTTCAGATAGTTGACCATACAAACAATCATCACATAGATATATATTCAAATATGATTTGAGTAGCATACTCAAAATTGTTGACTTTTTCCAGATGGATGCTCGAAGCCTTGCTATGGAAATGGCACCTGTTGTTATGTGGCAGAAAGGACAGAGACCTGAAATTTATTGTCAATATTGGAATCAGATGTCAAAAAGTCCTTCAAAAAGGAGCTTTGATCCAACACCTGGTTCACATACTGCTTGGGAGATGCTTGCTGGTAAGTGAAATGATGCTAAAACATGTAAATATTTAAGATAGCCAAATTGATTTAAAATACTATTTATTACTGGTAATTTTCAAAAGGATGACGATCATACTTTAGTCTCAAGCAATGGGGATTTTCTTCGTCAAAATGATTTATTAGCAATTATCTTCATTGAGTATAAACTTTTATATTGGCCAAGTTAGGAGAAAACCAGTAAAAGGCCTAATAAGAGGAGTTGATGACATGGAGATAACATGATAAACAGGGGTAGAGGAAGACCAAGGAAAACCAAAAGGGGTTGTTGATCTATAGAGACTTTTCTTCTTTCCTTCAAATTATATTTCCTATGAATCCTGTGTTCAGGGAATCATGAATTTTTGGAATGTTATAAATATGTTTGACATGCTTAAATATCACTAGGAATATTGGATGTTGTTTTATGGGTATGCCCAAAACTTTCCCACTTTTGTGGGAGAATCTTGGATTTAACCCTTTCCCATTGGGAAACATGGTTAAAAAAACATTTCTAAGAATGTTCATTTCTTGGAAATCTTATTTATAAAGTTCACGCCAAACATAAGAATCTAAGATTCCTATGTTAAGATTCCTTGTTCCTGGTAAACTTTATAAATCACTCTACTGAAGGCTCCCTAAGAGAAACCATTTAAAAAGGCCTTGATCTAAATGACATTTCCAAAATTTTGGTTTTTGATTGAGCACATTGACATTGTTTGATGCTTGTAGCCAACCTGCAATTATGGGAAAAGGAATTTATTGTTGCTGTTGTTGCAAGCATACTTTTGTAATGTTTAGTGCTGAAACTTCAAAAGTGGAAATAAAAAAATGTTGAGATGCCATACTGCTTAAAACAGTAAAACCTCAAAAGTAGATATCAATTACGTGCCTTACTCCTACTGGCTGTTAGCATTGAATTGTTTGGCATTTTCTTAAGAATAATCACATAACCTGAAAATGTATTAAGTGGTTAGGCACTGTCTTTGATATTTTTATAACAGTAAAGTAAAGTAAATCAATATTATGGATGCAAGTCGGCTGCTTCTATAATTAATGGGTTTAGCCTCATCTTGGGATCTTCTATGGGTGAGGCTAAACATCTTAAACTTTGCTTCAATTTGTACTTCTAACCTGTGGATCTTGAATCGACATTGCATTTTACTCTCATGTCACTCGCAAAATTTTTGGAAGGGTGCAAAAATTAGTTTAACGGTTGTTTGCTTTACTTAAGATTTTAATGCAGAGCATAGAATTAATGCTGATTGGAGATTGGCATTCCTTTTCTTGTTTCTTGTGTTGCAGATGATGGTGAAGCTATAGATGCATCATCCCCTATTCCTTTGGATGATGGCACACCGGTAGACTTTGGTGCAATTGAGGTTGTTCAGTTGCTCATAGAGCATCATAATGCAATTTTCACAGATGCAAATGAGACAGTGTGGAAATGAATTGCTTTACACCTCATCCTGTAGAGAATATTGGACTAATATTATTTTTCCAATCCGGTCATGAAGATCATTTATACAGGAGCTAATTTTGATGTTATCCGTAATCATTACGCTGCAGAAAGATGTTGGATACTGGTCCAGTTTAGTGATAAGGGTATCAGATTTTCAAAATCTTGTGCATTTAGGGGTTTGACCATCTTAGTTGTTGAAGTGGATAAAATAACAAAAATATTGTACAGCTATTATGTATCGCCTGCACAAATTCTCATCTCCAATGTGCTGTGTTATTGTGGTCTTCAGCTTGGGTCGATGACGTGATCTTTGTTTTTAGTTTAGTGTGGAAAGTCGTGTACATGTACATAAAGATCAATTTGGTGCAACTACTACCAGAATGTGTCATTTAAATCTTGTCCCATTATTGTAAGAATCCTACGTAACGGGGGTGAAGGTAAGTTTAATTTGAAGAGCTACGCACAAAAAAAATGCCATGGATTATTTTTTGAGCATTGCTATTTAGTATGATAAAATTTAGTCGGAATTTATATGAATACATGTGGATGAATTTTATTGGTTAAATGAGTTAAATAGGAAAAGAGCATTGTTAATTTAGTGTGGGAAAAAATTAGTACGAATGATGAATTTTATTGGTTAAATGTGAGTTAAATAAAGAAAACACCTAATTTCTACTGTTTGAGATAAATTACAGGTCACTGTTCGTATGTTTCTTCAACGTATTTTTCGTACTAAACAGCATTTCCGTTTTTTTTTATAATGGAATTTTTTAATCTTGTGACTTTAGAACCACAAGTTTTCGTTTTTACATATTTTTCGTTTTAGTACTTATTTTATTTCCTTTATTCAACTTAGTTGAAAATTTAATAGGGATTACTATTCGCACTTTAAGATTTCTAAATAGTTTATATTTTAATGTTTTCTTGCAAATTATATTTAAATAAAATATGTTAATTTAGTATTTATATGAAAACAAATTTATTGTTTTAAGAAATTTAATAGATATTAGTACTTCTATGAATTACTAGTGTTAGAAATTCCTTTGTGTCTTCTTCTTTGCACCTTCTTATGGCGGACGGGACTAGAGCACAAGAATATAGACATATTGAAGGAATAGTGAAGCTATTGAAGGAAACAACGCAGCAACAGGCCGCTTCCGTGTCTGATTTGACTAATATGGTGGCAGCTATCAGTCTAAAATTTGATCAATTAACCATTAGAAACGGAGATTCAACTGGCAGCAACAAGGGTGATAGGAATGTGCCCAATTTTCAGAATAACAATGGTTCTGTCCAAGATTTCCACAGAAGTGTGGACCCTTTCTCTTCCTCGGTAGTGTTGGTTAAAAAGAAGGATGGCTAGTGGAAGATGTGCGCGGATTATAGATCCCAACAAAATTATTGTCAAAGATAAGTTACCTATCCCTTTTATTGACAAACTATTGTACAAGTTACATGGAGCAAAGTTTTTTTTCTAAATTGGATCTCTGATCAGGTTTTCATCAAATAAGAGTGCATACTGCTGATATTCATAAAGACCGCTTTATTGGGTCATCATTTCCAAATAATTACGGATCACCTTAGCTTGAAATATTTGTTGGAGTAGTGAATTTTATCTTCGATGCAGCAGAAATGACTCACTAAATTGGCATGATACAATTATGAAATAATTTATTGCAGAGGGAAGCAAAATAAGGCAACAGATGCCTTATCTAGGCTGCCAGAAGGGAAAGATGAATATGTTATTATGGCTATAACACGTCCTATAGCCCAGTGGCTGAACGTTCTTCAAGACTAATGGAAGAAGGATGAGAAGATTTAATAACTAATCCAGGAATTAGTGGCTGATCCAAATTCACACACTAAGTTTGCATGGACAAACAATCAACTAAGGTATAAAGGGAGGGTATGGGTGGGAGAAGGATTCATTTTGAAATTTAAAATATTACAAGATGCTCATGGAGGGGTCGAGGGAGGACACCATTCGGGAACTAAAAAAACATTAGAAAGGATAAGACGAGCTTTTTATTGGAAGATGAGGAGAAAAGTTTGTAGATTTGTGATTGAATGTGAGACTTGTTAGAGGAATAAATTTGAAATTGTAGCAACTCTTGGACTCTTTGCCCTAAAATATTCTAGTTTACATTTATAGTTTTATTTTGATTAATAAACATTTTTCATATGCTTTATTTTTAGAGTTTTTATCATTTTCTAGTTATTTGAATTTTTGACTGATTCCAATTGCATTAGATTCTACATATCAAGGATTTTGAAATGCATATATGGATCATTGGATTTTGAGTTATTTTCAATTTTTTATTATTTTTTAAAGTTGAGGCAATTTGATGAATATTATTGCAGGATTGCATTTGGACCCTTGGTATTTCATAATTGTATTTAGACTTTTAGCTATTATTGAGGCCCGAATTTTGGCCACTTAATTTACCCTAATCAGAATCTATAAATATACTAATAAGGTTATGAATTAGAGGGTAATTAAACACTTTGAGTTTTTGAGATTTGGTCATAATAAAAATTCTTATTTTTACTTTTTCTTGAATTCTCTTATTCTCTTATTATTCTCGCATGGGTTAAGTACTCCGATGGAAGGCTAAAATTCTCATTCAATCTGCGAAATTCAAATGTTGTACATCCAATTTGAGTTCTGAGTCAAATTGCTCTGAATTTGTTTCATTTTTCTCTATTATCAAATTTGTGTATTGATATCGTAATTAACTTTTCTGTGGTTAGAATTTAAATTAGGATTCGATTGATATTCTAATTTGATAATGAATTTGGGTTAGGTTAAATGATAATTTGATTTAATCCGTAATCTAGTTCAATTAGATTATTCGATTGAATTAATAATTGAATTGGATAAACGTTTAAACTCAGATTAAAATCTTTAGATATTGTGATAATTGGAGTTACACGCATTTAGTATTCTGAAAATTGATATTTCTTAATTTATTTTTACTCAATTTTATTTTGTTTGTAATTTAATTTGATTAATTTGCAATTTTCAAAACTCCCTAAACCTTACTTTCATTCTTTTAAAAAATCTTAAAATTAAATTTAATTAAAGATGTTCCTTTGTGAATTGACCTAGTTGAGCTTTATACCACAAAATTCTTAAAGAAACTTAATTGTTTTGATAGCAACTTGACATCATCTATCACTCTTACAGGCTCTTTCTATACCTGATCAAGTTTGGTCTGATATATCCATGGATTTTGTAGAAGGCCTTCCTAAGTCCTATGTTAAAGAGGTTATTTTAATAGTTGTTGATAGACTAAGTGTGCTCATTTTTTGCCTTGTCTCATCCTTTTATAGCTAAAGAGGTTACTCAACTATTCTTAGATAATATCTATAAATTACATAGGCTGCCACAAACCATTATAAGTGATAAGGATCCTATGTTTACTAGTCAATTTTGAAAGCAACTATTTAAATTACAAGGAGCTCAATTGTTGATGAGTACCTCCTATTACCCCAAACCGAAGGGCAAACAAAAATTAATAAGAGTTTAGGACAATACTTGAGGTGCATGACAGGAGATAAGCCCAAGAAGTGGAGTAAGTAGTTGCCATTGACTGAATGGTGGTACAACACCTCATTCAATCTTTCTTCCAAAATAACACCATTCGAGGTGGTATACAGCAGGAAATCTCTTTCGTATACCTCCTACATCCCTAAAGAATCCTTAGTGGTAGCAGTAGATCAAGCTTTGAGGGATAGAGAATCGATGGTATGCCTCCTTGATGTGTTTCTTGAGAAGATCTTCAAGAAAGATCAAAGAATTGGATCTCCAAGAGGTAGACCAGCCATGATATATGCTTCAAATCATGTATTCCAACAAAAAGAAGGAAGAAAAATCCAAATGAAAAGCAAGAAGATGGAATTATAATGCAGCACACCACTCCAAAGGATTGGAGATAAGCACCAATGCACTCACCACATAGAAGAATCCATGATAAGATTATGATTCTGAAATTTTCAATGAGAAAATTCAGAGAAAACTCACTCACTCAAGAGGAGACTATGCTGAAAAATGCATCAAATGAATCTAAAATTTCAAAATTACAAAGGAGTTTAGCCTATATATAAGCAAGCTAAGCACAAAATGGTCTCTAATGGGCCTTAAAATAAGGAAAAGAAAGGGGATGGGGATTTGGGTTGAATACATGCCCAAAGAAAAATACAAAAGAGTCCACCCCAAAGCCTGATAGGCTTCCCAGGCCCATGGCCAAAATACAAGGCCCAAAACAAACTATTCTAAGCATGAACAATGCAAGTACAAAAGTATATACATGTGTGATCCGATGACTCCTAGGATTACATCACTCCTTAAAGAAAATCTACAGCAAGCTCAAAACAGAATGAGGCAAATGACTAATAAGCACATGTCCAAACGAGCTTTTGAAGTAGATGATTAGGTATATCTTCATCTACAACCCTTTAAGCAAACTTCCTTAGCTCTTAAAGTTAGCTCCTCAATTTCATAGAGCTTACAGAATACTCCACAAAAGGTTCAGCATGTAGCTTACAAATTAGAACTATCTCCTTAGTCCAAGATTCACCTTGTTTTCAATGCTTCATGTTTAAAGAAGTTAGGAGCTGCCAATGTTAACCAACAGAACTTCCCCTTATCCAAGATGGGAGAATGCAGTTAGAACCTATTACAATCTTAGACAAGCATATGGTCAAGAGAAATAATAGACCAATTGTACAATTAGTTGATATATTGGAGTAATTCCTTCCCTAAAGATGCAACCTAGAAAGATGCTTTGAAGATCACAGAGAAGTTTTCAGAATTTCAACCTTGAGGACAAGACCAGTTCTCCAAGAGCAAGAAAATATCATGACAATAATTATTATTTATATTATTTTTCTTAATTGATCCTTAATTAATAGGATCTTATTTTTGTTTCTCTTTTTTAGGATATGATTGTTATTTCCTTTCTATAGAATTTAATTTCTATTTCTTTTTTAGGATTTAATTGATGTTTATTTTTTCTATAAATATCGTAGTGATTATATTATGGAAGATATAAAAAAAAATTATAACAAAATTACAAGTAGAAGGAATATTCCTTTGTGTCTCCTTCTGGGGTCATTAGAATGGAGTCTTGCTACTGTTCTCACTAATTTTTTGCTCTAATCGATCATGCATGTGACATGTAATGGTGTTTTTCCTTCTATGCAATTCATTATTTTCATAGCCTAATTCCAACTGTCGATTAGAGCTCGTTTCACCTATTTTTGGTCTAACACTGTAAGTACTCTAAAATATGAATTCTTTTAAATACACAGTGGCTATTTTATGTTTTTTGGCCTTAACTCTAAAGAAAACTTATATGCAAATTCATATCTTCATCTTCACATTGAGAGATTTCTCAAGCATCCTCTCGATTGTGAATCAAAGTTCATTTTGCATGCTTTTGGTCGATTATTGTAAGTTGTGCCTTTGCTATCATAATTCTCTATTTATATGTGTCAAGTTTTATTAGTAAAACTATAATTTTATTACATTCAATGTATTCTTTTTTTTTTAAGTGTA